CCCGAATGCGAACTTCATATTTCAATATATGTATATGTATATATGTATGTATGTTTATCATAGTTGTATCAATTTATGTATCATTTCGTTAGCGCTTACAAAAATATCAATATTTATAGAAGCAACAAGAAATCACATTAATTTTTTTTTTTATTTTTTTTTATTTTTTAGTGTTTTTCTGGGGTGTTATTATTTTTTTTTTTTTTCTATACACAAAAAGCGTGCGTTTCGCAGTTACTGATTTTCTTTTCTTTTTTAGGCTATATATTTATAAATATATAAGTATGTATGGCTGTTGTCGTGTATATATACGAGTGTGGGTGTGTGTGTGTATAGTAAATGTAATTGCATCTGTATACGCGCATTACATGTGTGTAAACAACAAACCTTTTAGCCCAATGGAGGGAGTTTTCTGGTGCACCCGCACAGCAAGAAATGAAAATGAAATCAGTTTGAGTCAAACCAAATAGCTCTAGTCGTGTACGGCACCGACTAGCGTATACCCTGTGCCGACGAAAAAATGAAAATAAAAACTTTTTTCAGTTGCGAATTTCCCGATTGCCTTAATTCGTTTCTGATAATACAACGGAATTTTTCGACTATATTGAGCTTTTGGTATATGTAATGGTATTTTATTTGGTATTTTCCGTAAACGGACATCCATTAGTGCCTGAGAATCTTTTCGTTTGAGTTCCTTTTTGATTATGAAACAAAACCTTGCTCAGCTGGATTATATTGATATATGTGTATATATATACATATACATATATGTATATATCTATAATACATGCAGTTACATACGTATATCTATTGTAACTAGCAAAACCAAATTGCTCTAACACTTCATAATACACTACAATAGTTGTTCGTTCAATCTAAGCCGTATCGCATTCTATATAATATCAAGTTTTGGTCTATAAATCGTCTATATATATATATATATGTATGCATGTATGTATATGTTGGTGCCTGCATACCCAGTTGACTAACATACCCGCTGCCAATGACTGAAGTAAGCACCATAACTAAACAATTGCCTTGCCCAGCAAACAATTGAAACACTTAATGCCTGAGTGTGGGTGTGCATGCATATGCATGTGTGTGTATATGTGTGTACGTGTGTTTATCTATGACAAACTTTAACATGGCGTTAACAATAATAGAAGCAGTAGCTGCTTCGTCTAAAACCCGCTCAACCAACCACAAAAAAAAAACCCTCCACACCACTACAGCAAGTGTTCATGTGTGTGTGTGTGGTATGTAAGTGTACATATTGATATCTATATATATAGATGTATATATGTTTGTATATATATGAAACAATATTCCCTTTTCTGAATATATAAAACGTATAAATATGCAACTGTCTCTCTAAATAGTTATGTTTATATATACATTTATC